GCCGGAGCTTCCCTGCACGCCTGCCGAGCCGGAGCTTCCCCGCGCGCCTGCCGAGCCGGAGCTTCCCCGCGCGCCTGCCGAGCCAGAGCCTTCTCCGCTGGTCCCGTCCAGTCCTCCCGAGCCTTCTCCGCTGGTCCCGTCCAGTCCTCCCGAGCCTTCTCCGCTGGTCCCGTCCAGTCCTCCCGAGCCTTCTCCGCTGGTCCCGTCCAGTCCTCCCGTGCCTTCTCCGCTGGTCCCGTCCAGTTCCCCCAAGCCTGTCTCTGAACCCGTCACTCCCCCCAAGAAAATTTTGGGGGGGGGATATAAGCCACCCGAGGGAAAGTCTCCACCCTGGCCACCTGAAGTGGCCTCTCCACCCTGGCCACCTGAAGTGGCCTCTCCACCCTGGCCACCTGAAGTGGCCTCTCCACCCTGGCCACCTGAAGTGGCCTCTCCACCCTGGCCACCCGAGGGAAAGTCTCCACCCTGGCCACCCGAGGGAAAGTCTCCACCCTGGCCACCCGAGGGAAAGTCTCCACCCTGGCCATCCGAGGGAAAGTCTCCGCCCTGGCCTCCTGCACGTCCTGCTCCGCCCTGGCCTCCTGCACGTCCTGCTCCGCCCTGGCCTCCTGCACGTCCTGCTCCGCCCTGGCCTCCTGCATGTCCTGCTCCGCCCTGGAGGCTTCCTGCTCCGGGTAGGCCACTCCCTCGTCAGCCTCCAGGGCGCCCACCCCCCCACCCTTATTGATGTTACTCGGCGCGAGGACGCGCCTTGCAGGAGGGGGAGCTAATGTTACATGTATGTCCTGTGTTTCCCCCTGTTTAGTATTTTTGGTTCAGTCCAGTGTCCCAGTTTTCCCGCTCCTCGTTTGTGTTCAGTTCATTCACCTGTTTCTAGTTAATTTGCCCCAGCTGTGTCTTGTTCCCATGATCCATTCTCTGTGTATGTAAACCCTGTGTTCTCCCTCACTCCTTGTCGGTTCTCGTTTGTGTATGGTACGTTTGTATTTGGTGTGGTTATGTTTCCTGGATTCCTGTTTTGAGTTATATTAGTAAAGAGTATTGAATTTGATCTGCTGACTGCTGCCTCTCCTTCAACCTGCACCACACCCGTAACATCAGTGAGTAATGCATACTTTTTATGCATAAATGTTTTTTTTTTTAATTAAAAAAGTAATACATAAAAATTGCAAAAAAGGAAACTATTTCTCCTTTTTTTGTCTTCCTGTATTGACCTGCAGAGGGTGTTTCTGGCAGCTTGAGTCTTGCTCTGAAATGTCTTTTATTTGTGTTTCAACTTCACTGTAAACCCCTCTTTGTCTGTGAAAGTCCATAATAAGTACACATTATTTCCAGTCTAAATAAAGGCATGGAGGAAAACTACTTCCACAGATTCCCTTAACGCACCCACATCTAAGGCCAGATTTACTAAAAGCTTGCTTGTGCCATGCAGCGCAAACCCTCTTTTGGCGTTAAAAAACTACTTTCATGATTTACTAAAGACACGCAGTGATAAATTAGTGCTGAAAAGGCGTGGACAGAGTTATTTTTGCGGCTGACCTTATACACTTGCAGGAGTTTCCATTTCAGATGCAACATATTTGAGAAGAGACTATTTAAATTTGACCCTTATTTAATGTCCAAAAAAATGTTTTTCACAAATTCGCATTTATGTAGTTTACACAGAGACGATAACGGTATTGCTTTCAAAAACTTGAACTTTTAAACAGGCATCCAAAACTTAACAAATTAACGGCCAAAACACATTAAAAAAACTGTTTATAGTTGAAATGGTGTTGTCGAAACGCCCCCTAAGAATCTTACGGTTTAACTTAGTTCATACTAAGTTGATAGTTAAATGATACTGCTATTGTCTTCGTGTAAACTACAAAAACACAAATTTGTGAAAATGGTGACGTCATGCGCATGCATATCAGAGATGGTCTTATTATTGGGGAGATATGACAGTCCATGGCTCTACCATTGGAAAAAGCATAATGGCTACTTGTATCACATGAGCCTTGATGTCATTGAATTTCGTTCAGAGCTGTGCAACAGTCAATCACCGGTTGCATTCGAAAACCTATAGCTGACTTGTTGCCTCACTTCCCTTTATGGCAATGACATAGCAAGCAGCGTTCATGCATGATGACGAAACTGATTTCAGAACAGACTTCTATAACGATTTAATGATCGATAACAAAACAGAGAGAGCTTTGGTGACAACCAATTGAATATTTAATTACTACAATACTAACTTCGGTAACACTTTAGAAAACGGTTCCTTCGTAATGAATAACTACACAAGAACCAATGAGTAACACAATATTAACAATCTAGTAACTATTATTAACTAAAAAGAAACTCTGATTAACGAACTAGTAAGTAATAGCGCACAGATGAAATTGGTAGTTCACTATTAACTAATCAATAACTTCAATTTTTTTAACGCTTCCCAGAGAACTACTGAAAAAGTTTCATAATTCATGCAAAACTAATCAGTAACTAATGCAGGACAAATGACTAGCACTGCTACTGTAAACAAATACACAAGGTTGTTTACATTATCAATATGTAATAGCATATAGCAGACTTATGATTTGGGAAAGCTGTTAATAATTGGCCTATGCTGTCTATTTATCAACTGAATAATTTTAAAGAAATGGATTTTTAAATGCAGTCGTCGGGACCTTACTTGTCCTGTGGCCAATTGTCCGGCATTCCTCTGGACTGGCATTGAATCACGAGTCACGGTGAGTACTGGAACATATTGAGTCATTAGCCACCCAAATACTATATACAGTTATTTTATTATTTAACCTACCTCCCAAAAAATATGTTTTTATGTATTTCTCCTTTTATGTGTGTGTGTGTGTGTGCATATCTTGTGAGTGATTAGAAGATTCTACACTTTATTGGCTTAGTAACTAAGAATCGTGGTAACAAACTAGTAACGACTCAAGTGTTACTACATACTTCTATGGGAATTACTTAATATTTGGATCCGTATTCTAAAGTGGAGATCATGGGAACTAACTAGTAATGACTCAAGTGTTACTACATACTTTTAAAGAAATTTAAGTCAGGTACGTAGGGGGAAAATGTACCAAACTCACAAGGGTACAGAAGGTGCCTGTGCTTTGAAAGCTATTGCCAGAATGCCAGAACAATTCTCACATACTGTACACACACGCAGACACAAATAAAACCCATGCACCCCCTTGCTTGTGACTTTCCATAACACTTGGCTATGTATAGGGCAGGACAGCAGTCATGTTTGACAACACACTCGTGTGAGATGATGATGGAAATTTACATGACATGAAACTAGAGAGTTTCATTCATGAATGACCCCTCCCAACATAAAACCAGTGGGATAATGGTCACAGCAAGGTCATTGCTCCACCGATTTCTCATGAAACTTTGTAACAATAAGCTACACATAACAGAAATACAGTAAATAAGAGGGACAGAGTCAAGGTCAGGGCTAATGTCGGGGCTTTAGTCATGTGACACGTGTAATGTTTTGCAACAAAGAATTTTGAGAAAACCTTCAAGGCTTCCCATGCATGTGAAATACCAATAAATAATCAGTTTCAGGTTGACATTTGACATGTGCTTGTGCAAACAAGAGGAAAATGATCTCTGGACAGATTTTGAAATTGGTCATTTTGTCCTAGACAGGTAAATAACAACCAGGACTGAATGTTTCAACCAATGGCAGGCTATAGACCTCATACACCGACACACAAAATCATCTAAAACCTATTTCTAAGATCATGTCTTGAAGGAAATGTTAACAAATCAACTTCAGAATTATTATTTATTTTTTTATTTTTTTTGGAATAGTAACACATTACATATGGTTTTGTTAACATAACTATAGTTCACATGACCTGACAATGAAAAATAATTCTAAAGCATTTATTAATCTTAGTTAATGTTAATTTCAACATTTAATATTGATATGGAAAGTTGTATCTGTTAATATTGTTTAATAGAACCTGAGCTAACATGAACTAACAATGAACAGCTGTATTTTTATTAACTATAACGTTAACAAAGATTGGCCTAATAAATTCAGTAACAAATGTATTGCTTTTTAGTTTACAATAATGCCAACCAATGGGACCTTATTGTACCAAACACTTTCACAACTGCATCTGAACAAAAGATAAAATTAGACATTTTAAAAGCATTTTGAGGTTTTCGTGAACCTAAAATTGTTTTATTTAACACGAATCACCTTCTGGTTTATCTAAGCTAATCTGAACCTAATTGGAGAAATACAGCACTGCATTGCTCTATGCTCACAAGATAAAAATGTCTTTCCAAATACAGCTGTCTGTGACACTCAAATGACTCTTATCTAATCTTCTGTTGACATATTGATTAGTGTGTGAACCTAAACTCGGTCTGTAGCCTATTTAGTGTATATTTTTAAGTTATGTTGGTGGACGCCCCCTTATATGTGAGTAAACAGTAAAGTTACATTCTCCACGTGGCATGTCATACAGTTCCTTATAGAAATGTTTCTTTAAAATATTCTTCACACTAAAAAAAAAGTTATTTTAAGAACAACCTATAATGGTTCTTCAATGGCATCGCTGCAAAAAAAAAAGAAAAGAAAGATTTTGGAAAATTGCAATGCATTGCTGAATGGAAACCAAGCACAACCTTTGATGACTGAAGGTTTCCTTATGTCAAAAGTGTACAAATACCATGCACCAAACTGTTGTCTCATAATGATGATGCAACAGTACTATGTCCCCCATGCATGTTTCAAAAATCTTTTCTTTAAAATTTGAGCGTGTGGTCATGCGTCAGCATGTTGACGTCATGGTCCTGCCCCTATAGCATAGGGTGAAAAATCATCCGAGGTGGACGAAGGAGGGGTTTGTTGTGCTAGATGAATGACTGTTTGAAGGGGGAGGAGTATCGACTCAATTACTACTACACCCGGCTGGTAGATCGGTAGAAGCAGGTTGATCCCAAAGAAAACGGTTTACGCGAACAGGATCAGTGGTTTATGTTATTTTTTTAAAGCTGCTATTTTTTCGATTTCTTCTTTTGTCAATATCATTCAGTAACGGGGTTCTCGTAGGAGATTTTAAACGTAAATCTTCAAGAACGAGATGGCAAGAGGAGAGGGCGCAGAGCAGTACTCCAATGCAAGTCTCCTGCAAAAACCCAGCCCAGATGAAATCAAATTGGCAGCAAAGGTAAGAAACTGAAAATAAATCATGCCTTCATTCAGTTATAAGTTTATTAGCAACCCACATATATGTCCCAGGATTTCCCGGTTGAACAGCCACGTAGGAGCGGCTCGTGCTGATATAACATACGTGTCATTTTTGTCAGGATAAATTGAGCGCGCACGCCCCACTCGCGAACCATTGAAATTATAACGTTGGCATTAATCAAAGATTTTAGACCGATTCCACATAAATTATCTGGCTGTTTGTTGTTCATGCCATCAGAGTTGTGGTTTATTACATTCCATTGGTCGTTTACATAGTAGACCGGTGTCAGAGTTTAAATGGGAGTCGCTGTTTGAATGTCTGTGAGAATAGCTTAAAATGTGCTCCAGTTAGCTACTGAATTGAACGGAACTATTTTAAATCAAATTAGGGAACGCGTTTTTTTTTTTAAAGAAAGAAAATTGTTTGTGTGTTCATTTCCCCTAAACCCAATATATCAAATAATTGTTAAATATAGTGAAACTAAACTAATTAAGAGAGGGGGAAATATTACAATTAAATTATTTTGATTGGTTGATTCTGATTGGCTTATTTTTCTGTGCACGACTATGCAGCTCTATACCACTTCACTAAAATATTTTAATGATTTTAATGCAAAAGACTCCCAATAATATAAATACAAATTTGAAAACTCTGTTTTCTGTCTAAAAAGTGCATAGAATCATCACAAGCTTTCGATGCTTATTGAATGATTAAAAAATATTGTACACTTCCACCTGGCTTCATGCCCACATTACTTTGGGGTTTGCATTGTTTTTAATAATTCAATTGTTTGTCATCAATTATTCCTTACTTAAAAATTCAAATATAGCAACTAGTCTACCAATCAACAAGATGTAAACATTTGGGTGTTTCACATTATTGATCCCATATGGATCAAAGTCTAGATTACATATGCCACATCATCAGAATGAAAAATCATAGTCATATGATTTATTAGGTTGATTGTATGTGATGACTTTATTGCTGTAAAACGTGGTTTGCTTTTATTGCTGAATGCTGATGTAGATCTAGATAACTAAATTAATCATATAGTTGCTGCATTCCAAAAGCAGATGATCTCTCTGTCCCATTTTGTGTTAAAATGCCATTAAGTAAATTGAGAGTGGCTGTTGTCTTAATAGCTTATCCTGATCATTGCAAAGATGAAAGTGAAACATGACGGATGGCATCACAGTTTCTATAAATGATTGGTATCTTGAGGAAATTTCCTGTTCAACTGCAAAATTTCTCTGTTTAGTGTCTTTACAAGACCATTGAGTGTTTCTACACTTCCTTGGCCTTTTTTTTAGCAACATTGTTTACCCCAAAACTGTCTCGGCATCACAAATGAAGCAACATGCAGTCCAGAATTAATGAAAGCCCCAGTCACATAAGCCAACAAATCCTCTATTAACAGTCCTTAGTGAAGTAACACAAATAATCGTTCTCTGTTTCTACTATGTTATCTCTGTTGCACTGTCAGTTAGTTGGGCCTTCCAACCACAAGACCGTAATACAGTGTCTTCATTTACGTTGGAGTGTTAAGATTGTCCTAGTGTACTTTAACATGAGTTAAAGGCTTTATGGTAACACCTTCTGGCTTGTGCAATAAAGCCAAAGATAGTGACTTATGATTTGCACATTGAAACTTTAATGGTTTATTTTTGGAGGATACATGTGACAGACAGTCAGCTGTTAGTAACTGACTAATGTATTTGAAGTCACCTAACTGACTGAAGATCACACCCTCGTTTCTTGATAAATGGGCTCAAATTTGAACTAAATGACTATCTCTGAGTCTCTTGAAAATTGCTGATCTGCCGTGAGTTGATGTGCTGGTGTTAATCACAGAACGCCTCCTATCTCATCTGATTATTCAGTGGTATTTCTTGCATGAGGGCTCATATCTTGACCCAAATATTAGAAGCTACATGGCTGTATGGCGAATGAGGTTATGTTTGGATTAGGACCAAACAGCAAGTCAAGCAGAAATGCATAGTATTAGCATAATTGAAACCGGCGCTTGTCTCAGAGTGGAAACCCTTGCCATTCTACAACTTAAGCCAAATTACAAGCGTGTCTGGCCATAGTGAGCCTATTTACACCACAATTAGGTCAGTTTAAATCCCAATTGAGAGACAGCGAACTCTGTATGAACTTCATGAATTCATAATCCCTATATTTTGAATAATTTGGATGTTTTTCATCTTGTTGTTTCTTCCTTTTTAAAAATAGCATGAATCAAAGGGCCGGTTGTCGTTGTGCAACAAGTTGTGTTATGCCGTTGGAGGAGCACCATATCAGATAACAGGATGTGCAATCGGCTTCTTCCTTCAGATCTACCTGCTGGACGTTGCTTTGGTGAGTAGAGCTCTGTGTGATTGCACTTTGTGGTACACTTTTGTGTCCCATTACTTTTTCTTAAAACCATTATTTACACTTGACAAACTATCTAATATAAAATGAATCTAGCTTTGAATATAACTAGTTTTCATCACATCAAATGTTACTTCAAATGATTTTGGCCCATCCCACATCCCCACCTCAGAGGTCTTGATGATTCTCAACTTTATACAACAATTAAAATCAATCAAAATCATATGATATAATTTCTGTTAATTTGTTTAAATATATATATATATATATACTTACAATTAAAATATACAGGTATGTTCAATTATTTACTAGTTTTAAGCACGCTATTTAGCTGGAAGTAAATAATAAAAATAAAAAATTAAATGAAAAATTGCGATTTTATTTATTTAAATGCTATGAATATTGTTGTGTTCCCTACATTTATCAAAAAAAAAAAAAAATAGAAAACAAACCGGGTGATATAATACTTAGTTATATATCAGGTTGACTTGTAGAATGTAGAATCGGATTGTGATCCTCAGGGGGCAGCGGGTTTCATTACAACCCCTGCTCGCATAGTCCGAGACAAGTACAGTCACAAAGGAGGAATTGTACTGGAAAATGAATGGTATTTCAAAGGTCTTTCTTGCCATTAACTTTTGGAGGCTACTGTAGTCTTGGCAGGCTGATTGGCCAGATTAAAGTGTCTGAATAGGATTGTTCTAATAGCCTTCAGTGTTTATCATGTAACTACGGGCTACAGTAGACAGGTTCCCAGTGTGAGTTCTGTTAATGTGTTTAATCCCATAATTAACAGTTATTTCTACAATGCACAATGTCAGCATGAAGCAGTTAGTCTGTGCAACATTTCAGAAGTTGTTGTGGTTCACATAGCCTTCTAAAGAGCATGTTGATTTATTGTGAGAAGTCACATCTTCAACTGATAGTTGTGCATATCTTTGCTTTATCACCGAAACAGATTTTTATTTTTCAAATAAACTGTTCATATGTAATATTAGAGCTTTATATTTAAAAGCTTTAACAGAGTTTTAACAGGTTTTTCAATTGCTGAAGTCTTCACGTGTTCTTTTTCTTTATTTTCTTTATTTAATTTCTATTAATCTTTCATGTTGATATTTCACCTGTTAGTTTGAGATATCATTTAGTCCTAAATAAGTTTTTGGAAAAATCTCAACCAGTGATGTGTGTTTTAGGTAAGGTGATGACATGTTGGTCTTTCTCTTTTCTCGATAGTTGGACCCATTTTATGCCTCCATCATCTTGTTTGTGGGTCGAGCATGGGATGCTATCACAGACCCTACTGTGGGTTTTCTGGTCAGCCGGAGTCCCTGGACCAGATTTGGACGAATGATGCCCTGGTATGTCTTTTTTCACCTCGGTTAAATTGGATTTCTCCAATGCTTTACTGTCCAGGTCTGTGTGAATTCATACCTTGATGTGACGCATTGAAAAAGACTCGATTAAGGAGCATGTTGCCTGTAGTAACTTTCTGCCCTTCTTAGAAAAAATTTGTTTCACAAGTCTACCCTCCACAAACTCGGTGGCCTCCTTTGTTGCGTATAAAATACATCCCAAATGAATCTCTCGACTCTATCACTTGCTTTGTCTTCTGACCCATTTCTCAGTCATTGTGAAATATCAGGAGTTGTAGTCTTTTAGTGAGAGAGCCAAGTGTGTCTGGTGATGTTTCTAAGTGAGAGGACGTTTGTGGGCTAAGGAAAGCCCCCTGAGCTCTCATGGGGGGGTTTAGGGGCGTGATGGGCGGGGGGCTGAATACATCACAGTAGCTTTGCCTTTGGCCATTTTGCATTTTCAGCCAGCCAATCTGATTTGATTCTACATCACATGCATGGCTAAACCACTTTATCAGTGTCCTGACTAGAAACACTTGCCATTCAACAACAAGAAATTATGTAAATGTGTTTCTTTCTTAACTAGTGTTACAGCATTTTATTATATATATGAAGGCAAATGTGCTTAAGAAACCAACATTTGTTATCAAACTACCTACTGTGTGACAGCATAATTCAGGCTAAAGTTTAACTCAATCCTGTTACCCATTTTAGTGTAGTTTTTAAGTGTGTACATTTCTGTTAATTTTCTGAAAGTTGAATATTACTTCTCGCAAAAACAAAATCGCAGTATTTAGACATGACCTGAATGTTGGTAATTTTAGTTGCATAAATAGCAAACCTCACAGAAAATGAATAGCAAGTTTTACATCCTGAGATCGCTATCAACATTTTTTCTGAAGATTTAGGACATAGATTCTTGCTCTCTCACGAAAGAAGAAAAAAAAAACCCCAAGGAAATGATGCTTAATCTTGCGCCCACATAAGCATTATCTGTAATGACATTGTTGCTGATGAGAGAGAGTGTCTGCTTTAGAGAAAGCTTGTGTGGTTCTCTACACATTTAAAGTTTGTGAAAGTCTTGTTGGGTTTACACAGAGAAGAAAATGGGTTTTTAGCAACTAATGAAGCAAAATATCAATTTAAAGCCCTCAAACACCATTTTCCCTCTTCCCAAGGTGTTCCCAACCTCAAACAAATGGAAATCTAGCATTAAAAACAATCCACATGATTTCACTTTCTCAGTCTAATTTTTTTCATACGATGGTCAGTTTGAAGTGTTGCGGTTGCCATGTTCTCAGAAGTAGGAGGTCACTCACTATATGAATAATTGGAAAACCACTTGGAAGTGCTGGGAACGGGGGTTGGGTTGAGGAATGTGCGTCTCCATTCACGGGGCATTTGAAGGAATCTGGTAGGAAGCTGGTGAGAAAGTTCTGCCCTAATGAGCTCAGTTCAGTGACATTGAATCTGAGCAAGATGGTTGTATCCTCTAAGGGTGGTATCATTAGAAGATCCCTAGTGACGCACAGATCTGTGCTGTGATGTCACTTGGGAGTGAATGAAACATGTTTGTTTGGTATAGTTATCGGTACATGGGGGAGAAAAAGTCCCCTCTCTCTCATGGAAAATCATGCCTCAAGCCTGTATAATTGAATTTCCTCAATGCTTCATCACATGCATTAATAATAGTCACAAACATGTGAGGTAAGCTATCATAATCCTGAAAGGGAATTCATTACAAGGGTTAGTCACATTTTCAACGCTAAATGAAATGACATGAGCTGAAATACTGAGTAAACTGTAAAGAAAATGTAAATATTTGAAGATATGAAAGTCTCTGATAAATTGCAAATAAATATCAGAGCACATGAACCTAAAAACATCTCTTATCTTCCTTACTCATGTCTTGTGGATTGAATTATCAAGTGATTCAGCAAATGGCATGATTAAAGAGACATTTGTTTTGTGTTGCGGGCTCAGACGGAAGACATTCCCTTTTCCTGCTGCATGCCTTGGGGGCTGGGAGGTACATTCAGACTCTTGAGTGGTCCAACCCACAACACACCACCTCTGTCGTCCAATCAGAACGAAGGAAGGCAGACCAGCGCTGCCTCAAAGTCTAAGGGCGGGATACCGAGCACTGTGGGGTTATTTTAGTTCAAATGCCAGCCTTCCTGGTACAGTGTGATTTGTTACTATTTTGAACTTTTAACTAGCTGCACCTTTTTGCTACATGTTTGCACCTGAACATTTGGTATTTTTCTTGCTTACTCTTGGTTCCGAGCCCGGACAGCACGCCAAATACGCATAATCTTTACTCTGTTTAAGTTGATGTAAGTGTTAACTCGTGATTTTTTTTTTAGGGCAGGACAAGCCTGTCTAATCTAAATGTTGGCAGGGTGAACTTTTTATAATGTTCACTGTTTATTATAATTACATTGTCACATGCATGATGACACTAGTATCATTGGAAACGTTTGAGGTACTAAACATATTTGTGGCAAATCATCATTCTGAACATATTTGTGCATTAAATGAAGTATCATGACTCAAGTATCAAAGAAACGTAACCCAAACAGGTTCCATGCAGAATCTGCAAACATTTTCTGGTGCTGAACGCGGGGTAAAAATCTGCATAATGGCTGTCTATTAGTAACTGCAAAATAGCATTTTGGAATTAGCCTAAATATTTAATAAACCAAAAGCAAGGGGGTGGAGAGGGGGCTGGAGCGTACTAACTGAATACAAACATACATTCTGTGGAATTCTGTGGGCTCCGATTCTGTGAAGGTCTTCTCAATAAAAACTGCAAAGTGAGGTTCGGCTTTTTCCATAAACAAGTTTTTAAGGGGTGGGAAATAATGCCGTTTTACTACTCGGCGTGTTGAATCACTCTACCAGGAAAGCAAAGTGTGGCGCCACAAAATTCCATGATGCTTAAAGCTATTTCCTTGTACAGAAATGACATAAGAACCAACACTGTATTTCCACCTAAGTATCCTGTTCGATGAACAAAGACAGGACGTTATGCAATAAATTCTTTCATCTCTCAAGGTGTTGGGCAGCTGGTGACAACATCATGGCTTTTAGACAGAAAAGAGAGAACTTTAATAACACGTTTGGTGTCATTTGCTTGACAAGCGATGTAACGCCTCACTTAGTGTACTTCAGCTATGTTTATTGTCTTGTGGAACCAGAATACCAACCCTGTAGTTTTATTTCATTTTTTTAATTTATTTTTTAATAAGTTACCTTTTTTACTAATGTCATATATCTTTTCCATAGGATCATTCTGTCTACCCCATTTGCTGTGCTGTGCTATTTCCTCATCTGGTACGTGCCGCCTGGTGACCAAGGCAAGATTGCCTGGTACCTGGTCTTCTACTGCCTCTTCCAAACATTACAGACAGTGAGTAACCATTTTTATACCGACCATAAGTTGTAGCCTGTATGGTTTTCCTTTCCTTTGACCCTTTGGCATCTTCTGTTTCCCCAAAAAACAGTGCTTCCATGTACCATACTCTGCTCTTACCATGTTTATCAGTACTGAACAGAAAGAGAGGGATTCGGCCACAGCCTACCGTGAGTTTTAAAGCATCTACAGCTAGTTATATCCTCTGGTTCCCATTTGCCCGACTAACCGCTTACCCGTTATCTCAGGAATGACTGTTGAGGTTTTGGGCACGCTCATTGGCACTGCTGTTCAAGGTCAGATTGTGGGAATGGCTAACGCTCCCTGTATCAGCTCTGGAGAGGTCCTGAACTCCACAGATCTACAGGTGTCTCCCGATGTCAACATCACTGAGCCTCATGTTTCACTAGAGAATCTGGTAAGGAATTTCTTTTTTTTTTCTTTTTTTTTGAGGTTGACAATTAAATTCTTGTTACATTGGTATTAAATGCCTTGTCTCTTATGGTTCCCACAGAGAAATGCTTACATGATCGCGTCTGGTGTCATCTGCATCATTTATGTTCTCTGTGCCGTGGTCTTGTTCCTTGGTGTGAAAGAACGAAAAGGTAAGTGCTGGTACTTTTGCAAATATGCCACAGTTTCACAATTTTTTTTCCTGCTTTTGATGTAATTAAACATGCACAGTCAGTAAGATTTGTAAAAATGTTTTTGAAAGAAGTCTCTTATGACAAGTCATTGTATATACATTGTAATAACACCAATATTGTTTTAATTTAAAAGAATGGTTTTAAATATATTTTAAAATTAATTTATTCCTGTGATGGCAAGGCTGAATTTTCAGCATCATTACTCCAGTCTTCAGTGTCACATGATCCTTCAGAAATCATTCTATGCTGATTTGCTGCTAGATAAACATTTCAAATTATCAATGTTGAACTGCTCAATATTTTTGTGGAAGCCATGATACATTACCCTTTTCAGAATTATTTATGAATAGAAAGTTCAAAAGAAAATCTTTTTAAGAGTTTAAAAGTCTTTACTATTTTTTTTATCAATTTAATCCTTGCTGAAAAAAGTTGACTACCACATTTGAAATTTATTCAAAGTTTAAATGGAGGAAATCGACCAAAGATCAAATCAGCCGACATCATGGCTTTGATGTTAACTCATTTTTTCTTAAAGGGAACTATCACTTCACTTCAATATCTTATCTTTGACCCAAACTGAGCCAACATGTTAGCCTGGGAAAACCCAGACAACTTCTGGCAAATTTAGATTTGCTCTGAAAGTTAGTCTGGCAAAGAGCACATTCAAGCCTATTTCCAATCCGTCGAAATCGAGGCACCAATCAGAAACGTTGGGGTGGGCTTTACACGATGACGATGGCACTGGGATTTTGAAGCAGATTTTGTAGCCTACATTACAAAGATGGATGCCGCCGTCGAACATCACTCGTTCGAATCAGCTATCCCGTCTGTTTTAAGCAATTTGAACGTTTCCTTTTAGTTAAAAACCGAGCAAAGAACAACACTCGGAGATGTTTCTCCACCGCTCTGCATACATCATCTCCTTCATCGCTCAGATTGGTTTTAGGTCTATCCGCGACGTCCGTTGGTGACGCCCCTCTGGAAATGATTTGTCTATGACGCTTTGCCAGACCATAACTCAGTTACAACTGAGAATGGTCTGGTTTTAACCAGGCTACCAACATGTATGTAAACTGTGCTCATCAAGCAGTCTCATGCAGTTGATTGCAGCTGTTCTTTTCTACACTGATCGGGTTACTTTGAGTCAGTAGTTGTCCCACAAGCAGAGCTCAGCTGGTCCCAGGGAAATGCCAGTGAATAAGCTTGGCAGGGTTATTAGCTTTCACAGCACAGAGAAACGTCTAAATGTGGCGCATGTTAAAAGAAGGTCATTTTTTGTGTTCTCCAGAGTAGTTTATTTTGAACCAAAATATTGAGCCTTAACAAGCAGGCCTATGTGAGATGTTGTGGGGAAAAGACCTGTCCAAGCACAGTCCTGACTTATGTGTCATGCTCATGGAACATGGATCAAGCGACTAAACAACATTCTTTTCCTGGGCGGCTTATTTTGGCAGCTAACCGACATGTACACATTGTGCGCACCAATACTCTTTGTCTTTACTCTTTAATAGGCTAAAACCGGAATATTGTTTGGGGGAAAAGTTAGTTAACTATTGTAAACTCTAGTTTCCCCAGTGCTGCACTGTAAAAAAATTTTTCGTAAAATAACGGTAAAAAGTCTGGCAGCAAAGTTGCCAACCACTTACCGTCAAATTACAGTAAAAAAACGTAAATTATTTTACAGAAAAATGTTGTTTTTTGAAAACGGATATTTACTGTAAACATTTTCTGTATTTTTACAGTCAAACTGCTGTAGAAAGAAAAAAAAATCTCATAAAAAAATGTCTGTTGAATGTTAAACGAATGTATAAATCTGTATAAAAACTTACAAATATTGCAGAAATACCTTAAAATTACATAATTAAAACAAAGACTTCTGTTTTAATACAGTATTATTTGGTATATTTTTAGGATAATCCAATCCATCTACAAGAACTCCTTGTCAAAGTAAAGACTTTTCTATGTAAAACACACAGAAAATGTTGTATAATTACCTTCAGATACCCTAATTTAAAGCCTAATACCAGTATATTGATCGATTTAAACTTTTATTTTATGTCATTATTCAATCTATTTACAGTAAATTCCTGTTAAATATTGGTTTTATCCTGTACAAAAAAACAAGATCTTGTGATATTAAGTTTCAGAAACATATTTTTAACAGTTATTGCTTTATTAAAACATTATTTGACAGTAATTACAGACACATCTCCAATAAATGTACAAGCTTTTACCATTAATGTATGCAGGTTTACTTTATATAAACATTATTTGACAGTAATAACAAGCAACTCTCCAATATTTCTACATATTTGTACCACATTTGAAATAACGAACTTGAGCGCGCAAAAATATGTGAGCGCGATATGTGAACGGCCCCTTGTCGAGCTACCACCAATCAGGCCACGAGCTACTGGTAGCTCGCGAGCGACGTGTTGGAGAGAGACCCTGCTCTAAAACAATGTGAGAATAATCATTTTGAGCTTGTAATATGTGTCCAACAGGTTGATAAGACGGTTTGCTTTGATTTGTGCAAAGTCAGACACTATACATGTGTAGAAAGAATTCAATAAGACGGGCAGACATGACTGCAAATATTTGTATTTCAAAAGCAATAATTGTTTTTCTAAGTATAATAAAAGGAAATGTGCCTTCCAAAAAAAAACATTCAATATCATTAATGTGTTGTATAAAGAAAATGTGTTGCAAGCGCGCTCATAATTGAAGCGACGCGCTCATTTTTTCCAGGCGCAGGATGTTTGTACTTCGCGGTTGTCATTGACAACTATTGACAACAAACCCACCGTAAGCTGTCACAAAACTATCTATGGTAGCCCATAAGGGATAAAAATATATATATATATTTTTTAAACGCGGCACACGCAACGACGGGCCGCACTAACATTAAACTTTAATGTCAAGTAGGGGGCCACAAAATATCACCCCGCGGGCCGCGAGTTTGAGACCACTGATTTAGAAAGTGTTTTTGTTAACCTTTTTCAACCATTTAGCATTAAACGTTGTTTCAACGACTGGCATTATTTCAATCATATTTCAACGTTGAAGGTCGGTCATGTGCCGGCTGGGTATATTAATCTACCTTTAGTGAAAGCTGAATGCCGATATCGTGGAAATGTTCCATACTTTATCCAGGCTCTCTACTACTGCTTCGCGCGAAGTTATGACGTATCCCCCTCCCAAAGTCAAACAATATCATTGGTCGAGATTGCCTCTGTCGTATGATTCGTCCAATGATTGTACAACATTCAATTATTTGAATCTGCGCGCACTTTCTTGATATCTAAAGCACAGAGACTAGAAAAACAATTAGGATGTTTGTTTACACGTTGTCGTTGTGTAATGTTTCAACCATTTTAATGTCTTCAATTCCTTCACCCCCAGTTTACCAAAGCTCAAGTTTATGCTACAAGAGCCTTGGTTGAACTTGAGCCCCAGAATAAATTCCTTGTCTTTCACACATTGCTCACCTATTGTAAATTAAAAATATATAGCACCCCATTGTAAAGCTTTATTCATAGTGTGGCGGTTTGTTCCCATCAACCGAGAAAATTGTGGAGTGGCCTAATGATTTCACTGCAGTGAGGGCCTTGAATTTTGTTGAATATAGATTGACTTTGTGTCTTAATGCTTCAACGTTTTTAAAGTGGATTTACAGCCTTTACTTTTAAATTGAATCACATATTTTCTTCTCAAATAAACAGATACGTGTCAATATAGTATATGGTCAGAAAATCACTGTCAGGGCAGCATTTCAAACAGACAAAAAGGACAATGTCACCCTTAAAAGCCAAGCCAAAAGAGGACATATCAGCACACAAGATTCAAGAGTCCTTTCACACCAACAGGCAGACAGGCGGTTAGTGTCCAGCATTTTTGAGCCTGGTTGTCTTGCGGAAAAACTGTCCCAAAGCATGATGATCCGAGACTTGAGGCTGCAGCACCAGACAGCAGCAGCTACAGTGCACGGGGTGGGGTCTGAAAATGTTGCCACTCAATTTTTTCTCTGCCACTTATGAAATTGTTACAGAACACTTCAGAATTGTCAGTGGTACCTGACAGTAGAAACACTGGATATAGGATGCATAAACAATCACTGACTATTCTTGATTTAATTTTATATTAAACTTAAGCTCAATTATTTCATGTACAATAACTGTATATTTAGTTACACTGTGCAACAATATCTCCTACTGTATTCATCCATCTTTCAAGGCAATATTTTTAGATCTGTTTCTGTAGTATAACACACAGTAATTATAATGTTCAATTTTTATTTACAGCATATCTGCATGAAAGGTATAGCCTACATAGCTGTTTTTTTATTTTTATTTTATGTATATATTTTTTATCTATCACTCTTGTATCTGCACTTGTTGAATCTTAAGCTGATGTGGCCAGCAAAGTTTATCTTTGCCTCTGAAAAATATCTGCATTGGTGGCAGGGGACTTGGAAGTTTTACAATTACCCTGTATTTGATAGGTGTGAGGTGCTAACCTAACCCTAACCCTATACATTAATGGTAAAGTAATGTAGATATATTGGATAGTTGCTTTTATTTACTATAAAACAATGTTTATATAAAGTGAACTCCTTGAATTAAAAGTATGTAGATATATTGGATAGTTGCGTTTAATTACTATAAAAGTAAGTTTATTCAAAGTAAACCTATACATTAATGTGAAAAGTACGTGTTTTACATCTAAAAATCTGTACTTTGACGGGGAGTTCTTGTGGATGTAATTGATAATGTTATGAATTTACCAAAGAATACTGTGTAAAAACAGAAGACTTCTTTAATTGTATAATTGTAAGGTATTCCTGCAATAATTTCCAGTTTATATGCAGATTTATTCATTTGTTTAATGTTCTACAGACATTTTTTTAATGAGATTTCTTTTCATTCTACAGCAGTGGAACTGTAAAAATACAGAAAATGTTTACAGTAAATATCTGTATTTTAAAAAACAGAATTATTCCGTAGAATAACTTAAGGTTTTTTACTGTAATTTGACGGTAAGTGTTTGGCAACTTTGCTGCCAGACTTTTTACCGTTTTTTTACGATTGTTTTTTTACATGTATTTACCTTAAATTTAAAGTTTCACAGTAAAAAAACACATAGTTGTCTTAATTTTAAATAAGCGATTTTTTTTGTCTTTTTACATAGAATTTAATGTAATTTAACATTCAAGCCAATTAAACAAAAGAATAATCCTGTAAAAAAACTATAATTTCTCCTTATATGAATTTACAGATTATTACTTTTATTTTATGGTTAATGTTTTTAATAAAAGTTTTTTTCTGTATTTTAATGACATTTACACGTAATGTTAAAAAAACAGAAAATATCTGTAAAATAATACAGTATATTTCTGTGAAAAAACTTTTTTTTTTTACAGTGTGGTGTTTATTGCATTTTTTGTAGCAGCATTAATTGCCATTTGTTTGATTTGGTGCCACTTTCCATCATCTCACCTTGCCTCTCTCTTCTTTTAACAGAGACCTGCAGGGTTAGAACTGAGCCCATGTCATTTTTCCAGGGCATTCGTATGGTTATGGGTCACGGCCCATATGCCAAGCTGGTCATGGGCTTCCTCTTCACCTCTCTGGCCTTTATGGTGAGTCCTTGCGCAAATGATTCCGGTTGAGCCGTGGTCACCAGCAGCCATTTTGGTCGTTTAAACAGTGACCGCCATAGATGAGCACTGTTAGCTTTAGCAAAACGTAACAAATAAAGAGTTTGCCAATGTGTCTTACTATGCAGCTTATTGTGTCTATAAATATTTCTTGCAGTTTTTAGAGGGAAACTTTGCACTATTCTGTAGCTACACCCTGGGCTTTAGGAACGACTTCCAAAACATCCTGCTCGTCATTATGGTAAGCATTACAAAGGGCTCAGTCTTTTAAAATGTTTTGAATGTGCTTTTTGAATGCATTTTGACTGACAAGTGTACAAAAGGAAATAACTTAAAATGGGTCCATTATGTGAAGCAGTTTGCTATTTGCGTTATACAAAATCTATTTAGGCTGTTTATTGGAATAGACTAGTATTTCCAGTACTGCCCCTTAACCAACTTACAGCTTGCTGTTTTACCCATGAAATTCCTCTATCGCAGAAAAGTTTTCACTGTCGAGAGTATTGGATTGAAACCAGATTATTGTTTGAGGAATGAAAAGGTGTTCATCTAGTTATGGAGAACAAGAATGTCTCGTTCTTACACTTTTGTCCTTGTTTAAAACCCATATTCATTTAAGATGTGTCATGTTCAATAAGAGAGAATTATTGTAGTCATGTCAAACCCAGTCTTCTGACTTTTTTGTTCCCCCTGACTACAATAATCCTCTTTCAGGGACTCTGAACTGAACTATGACTGAGAATGCATGAATAGGACGTTTTCAGGCATTGTCCTTCACCTATCACTTTTCTTACAACAGAGTGGTAATGTTGTGTTGTGTTTCATGAGGAAGCATTCTTGTTGATGGGAACCTGTATGAAAACAGAGATATCTACTTTTTCCAGATATAAAATCTTAGCTAAAGCTTTGTTTATGCGCATCATCCATCTTGCAGTGCAGTGTTAACTGCACTTGTAAATAGATAAATGTAAGTAAGTTTTGTTACATAGTTCAATGGCCTTCCTGTAGCTCAAACAGTAGAGCATGGTGCTTAGAATGCCAAGGTCGTGGGTTCGATTCCCAGGAAATTGGTTCATTTTTTTTATAGTTTTAATGCGAAGTTCGTCACTGTGGATAAAAGTGTCTACCAAATTCATGAATGTAAATATAAATCGACAAGAATGAAATTCTGTTAAATAGTTTGACAATTTTATTATTATTATTACTTAGAAGAAAAACTGAAGCAGATTTGTAAAAATATTATAAATAGTGGTTGAGCATAAGACCGATGGACTGATATTTAGCATTTAAAAAACATTTTTTATTAGGCATCGTCTGATCTAAATCCGTTTTTCTTTTCATCTTCATTTTTTAAAATCTTTATTCATATTTTTTATTTACATTTTTATTCTAATTTAGTAAATATACATAAGATGACAAATGTTTGTCCACCAAATCAGCATGTGGTTTGACCAACATATAGAAAAAAACAACAACATAAAACTAGAAGTAAAATCGTAGATCAGGATTCGGATCCCTGCAGAATCTGATTATTTTTTTTCAGTCAATAAGTCTCTTAAAATATCACATCATTTGACCTTTTATAACAAAATAGTTCAAGCTGTAAAGTGTTATGTTTAATGCATTCATGATTTTTTTTTTTGTAATGATTATTTCATGGTTTTGTCATATATACTTTTTACCTTGAAAAATATATGTAACTTGCATGTATTGCTGTATTAAAAGTCTGTTGGAAATGGTATAAAAGTTTATCAAAAACAAAGGAACTTGAATAGAATGTTTTAAACACAATTTTCAAAAGATTTTCCCTCCTTTTTTTATCCAGCACACTCATTGAGCCAATTCTATTTTAATTTCCTCTATTTTAGCTCTCCGCCACACTTGCTATCCCATTTTGGCAATGGTTCCTCACGAAATTTGGCAAGAAGACTGCCGTGTATATTGGGACTACAGTAAGTATTGGCAGTGGCACACAAACCTTAACTGACCCATCGTCTTGTCATCTAACGAAAACTTTTTGATTCCCGTTACTGACTGTTAAAATTTCTCTTTACAGTCTGTGGTGCCTTTCCTGGTCTCTGTAGTCTTGGTGCCAAGCAGTCTTTATGTGACATACATTGTGGCTTTTGCGGCTGGAGTCAGTGTAGCAGCGGCTTTCCTTCTTCCCTGGTGAGTACCCGATGATTATAAAATGCACAAAAAATATATGTGTACGCTTCCAAATTTGATGCACAGTATTAATGCATGTTTTCCTATGTGCTCAGGTCAATGCTTCCCGACGTCGTGGATGATTTTAAAGTCCAAAATCCTGATTCTCAGGGCCATGAAGCCATCTTCTACTCCTTCTATGTGTTCTTTACTAAGTTTGCATCTGGAGTCTCATTGGGGGTCTCAACTCTTAGTCTTGAGTAAGTTTCCACACACGTACACGAAATCCTTTTTGAAGCTATCAAGGCTGTTAAAGTTGGATTAGAGTCTGCATGATCAAATAAGCCTGTTTTATTTATTTACTTTTACTGTATGAGAATAAGTCTGGCCTCCTGACCTTCAGATATAATGCGATTAGTGCCTCTCTCTTATGGGTCTTTTGACTCTGGAGGCCGTGACCATGTAGGACAGTGTTTCATGTGAGATTCAGTGCTCAGTCATGAGGTTGGATTTATCTGAATGAACATTAATAGCATGCTAATCTCTCGTTTCTCTTTGAAACAGTTTTGCCGGCTATGTGACGAGAGGTTGCACGCAACCCGCCGAGGTCGATTTAACCTTGAAGATCCTGGTGTCTGCCGCTCCGATAGTCTTGATCATTATCGGGCTGCTAATATTCATCTCCTATCCCATCACTGAGGAAAAGAGACAAGGCAACCGCAAACTTCTTAATGAACAAAGGTAAAACCACCTATTGAATCTATCACATGTCTTGCTTAAACAAGCTAAGCCAGCTCAACATTCTTGAAATATTTAAATTGACATGGTACTTTTAAAACTCTAAAGCTGATTAAATGGTATTCTTGTGCTTATTTTTTACAATATTTGTGGCTGTGACCCATTGATTTGGCCTAACTTTGTCCGGTGTGACTTTTTTCCAGAGAAAATGAGATCGACTCAGAAGCAGACTCCACTGAGCTCAATGTAGTTTAATAGCACCAGAACCCTTGACAGGACATTGTGCCATTTGCGTCGGACCTACAGTACAGAGCCAAAACAAACCGAGCGGATGCTTTGAACCAACCAGGCTGCCTTATGGCTGAGAACTTCCACCCATATCACCCCTACACAACAGTGGATCAACTTGAAATGTAGCCTTTGCCAGCTCAAGTTCAAAGTGCCTTGCCAATTTCCAGTCGCAAGTGCTAATGGACGCTAGAAATGTTTCTCTGACTTGCCTAAATCCGAAGGGCGGGCTTCTGTGTGTATTTGTGCTGCTCTCTGGCATAGGATCTCAAAGCAAACTGCCAGCTTTTGAAAAGCACACATCTATAATGCACTAACAAAAAAACAAGATCTGAGGTGGGACACGTCTACCGTAAGAAGAAACTTGAAACATTTAGAAAGGTTTTTAAGGTGCTAAAACCAAAAATACATTTCAATCATGATTGAAAGGTACATTTTGGAAGGAATATCAGTGTAACTGTACACTACGTAAGTAATATTTGTATGTAATTTAATATTTATAAATACTTTTGTGCATCTGACTGAATATACAAACTTGAAACCATGAGACCTAAGTGGGGTTTGATTACATCAAACTTTAGAATTGCGCACAAAGGGTTATTGTTTATTTCTTGTATTACTTTCCTTTGCGTACACCTTCTATTATGTTCCTTTTTATCTGTTTCTGCTCTTGTGGGGCATACAGAGCTCTATTAGAGGGATGTGCTGAGGGATAAACGTACAGATTTGGTCCCTCAACGCTTCAGATCAGAAGAACTGATTCGATTAAGTTCTGGATGGATCAGCTAAAGTGTGAATGAATGGTACAGCTGACAACTGAGGCAATTAACCAGCAGGATGCCATCAGAGTGAGTGGGGTTAAAATGCTTCGTCTGAGGTGAACAAGATTATTTAAGTATTTATTACTTTTGTTTTAAATCATATGTTGGTTTGATTACGTATGTTTCTCCCATCTTCCTTAATTTATCTTGTTTAAGGGTCTCAGTCAGTAAAATAAGGGCAATTAGAATAGTTGTCGCTGCTGAATTATGTCTAATATGCCATTAATTCCTATGGAAAAGCCAATCAATGTGTTTTATAGGTGACACTGCTGTTTGTTTAGTTGTTAAATTAATGTGATTTCTGCCTGCTCTGGTCGTTAGTCGGTGTCCTTTTGTTTTTCTGTGTTGTAGTTATCAAAAGTGCTTTTATTATTGTATAGTAATAATAAATGTCAGTTCTCTGTAAATTTGGTGTCAAAGATTTGAATGCCAAGTGTTTCCCTACCATGTGATGTGATATATGTACATAGACCAGCTGAAAATATGTACTTTTCATTTTCTATCTGGGGAAAATGGAATTACTTGTAAATAACATTTGTGTCAAGTGCCGTATGTTATACATATGTACATATGATGATGCACATTGAAATATCATCAGTGCATTTTTTTTTTTATGTTAATACCGTTGTCTTACACCTGTCAGAGTATTGTATTGATGCATCTGTGACATTTCTTTATGGTTTTCATTAACACCAGTTTGTGATGATATTTTGATATTTCCATATTCTGGTATCAAAAATGAGTGATTGTATATAATAAATGTGCTGATGTTTGTACATAGATTTCTTCTTTTTTTTTTTTTTTGGTTGGATGGAATTGTTATAAATGTACATGTGTGTAGTTATTTAAAGGAAATGTTACAAAAAATGTCTGTTAATAAATGCTACCACAATTAATATTCAAGGATCATTTCCTTTTTTTCTTTAGGGTTACTCTTACGAAAAACCATGGTTCTTGTAGTTTAACCACGGTAACCACAAATTTACTATTTTCTACACTAACCATAATTTAACCCATATTTTTAGTAAAACTGGTTCTACAAATGTTAATCAATCCGCCAAAAACACGTTACTACACTTTTACTATAATAACACCATGGTTAGTTAGTTTACACCTAATCTCTTCATAATAAAGTATGAAAATATATAGAGAGAAAGAGGTTGCAAATTAACGAGTTAATTATCTCAGAATTAGAGATAATTTTTCATGGAAACAAGTTTTTGCTCTGTTTTTCTGAATTAATGACTTAATTATCTCAAAATTATGAGTAACTCATTAATTCATAAAAACAGAGTGAAATTTTTTATATCATAATTCTGAGATAATTAACTCGTTAATTCAGAATAACAGAGTAGATTTTTTTTTCTTTAAATTAATGCAATACGCTTCCGTAGCACATTATGTGGCATGTTTCTGTAATTTTTTCTGTGTGACAATGACAATTTTATTCATTTATTTATTTGACAAATCGTAGGCAACCTCTAAATCGCAAAATTAGATTTCTAAGCTCTAATACAGATACACCTCAGCTCAGTCTCATTATTCCGTCTTAAATTGTCAATTTTGATTGTGAAAGAGATAATTGACTGCGGTATCTGATACTTAGTAGCCTAATCCTAAAAATATTTTAATTAAAAAATGAAAAGCACGAATAAAAAGTGCCCCCTGATGGAGACAGACAGCTATTGCAATGGATCGCACCTCGTTGTTCTTTAGTCGATTAATCTTCCTGTTGATGAATAGCTGGGCAATTGATTGTTCAGAGCTGATGCAACACTACCACATTACAAAAAAGTATTTCGGAAAAAGAAAAAAAGCTCAATAATATATATTTAGTTAGACATATACAATATATTCGACAGATATACATCCAAATATTTGTATTGAAATGACTGATGATGCTAACCTTTATTCACTGACATGTCTGATGGGGCTTTTATTATGAAATACGTGATGAAATCTTGTTGCAACCGGAAAAGCCTGTCACCGGCACACACGCTTCTCAGCAACCACCGGTGAGCTTTTTTATTTTATATGTGCTCTTTTGTAATCTATTATTTACTGACATTACAAGATAATTATTAAATTGTATGCCGATTTATTGCCTGCTTTGTAGTGGTTCTATCACTCCTTGAAATGAATATTAGACAGCTCATCCTCGGCTATTCATTCATAACGCACGTCACTTTTTTTAAAAAAAAAAGCCAGGTCTAAATAACTGATCCTTGAAAATAACTCTGGCTGCCACCAGAATCACAAGTAGAATTTATCTTCGTTATTGACCTGTCTATTACTTAATCTGAACAGAAGCAGCAGACATCATGGGAGAGCATCTGAGCCCTGATGAGAAGTTCCAGCTCATCACCAGGAACCTTCAGGTGAAAAACAATAGAGCAGTATCTGTAGCATGTCAAAAAAGGAGCTGTTTTTGTTTAGTTATTTCTGTTATTGTTTTGAAGAGTTTCATTTGAAAGGTTTCTGATTTCATTTTTACATGTGCCATCAGTTGTATGGAGTCCCAAACTGGCAGACAAAAAGTAAAACCAATAAATATATATGTAAAAAAATAAATAAAAAAAGTAATGTAATAGGAACATAAATAAAGGAATAAATGTTTTATTTAATTCAATAATATAATAGTTTTGTTTAATTTAATTAAATTTAATCCTGAATTAATTTTTGTATTACTTTTTGTTTTACTTTCTGCGTGTACTTTGAAATTTATTTTTATTCTCTTTAACTGATATTTATTAAATATTTTTTGTTTCCATTTAGTTTTATATTTATTTTTTTATTGTTATATTTATTTATTCTCACATTTTAGGGAGGGCAAAATAATGTACAGTATTAATAAATGAAAATGGAAATTAATACACGAGGGAATAAATAAATATAAAAATAAATGAAAGAACAAATAAATAAATCAATACAGAAAATAAAAAGTAATTCAAAAAAATAAATTCAGGATTACTCATCCATGATTCCATCCATCCCATACTTACTGTTTCTGCCACTGTTGTTTTCAAAGGAGGTTCTTGGTGAGGAGAGGTTGAAGGAGATCCTGAAGGAGAGGGAATTGAAGGTTTACTGGGGAACAGCGACCACAGGCAAACCCCATGTGGCTTACTTTGTCCCCATGTCAAAGATCGCTGACTTCCTGAAGGCGGGCTGCGAGGTTTGACTTTGGCGTTCTGAATTACTGTTGTCTGCATATAAGCACTTATCTCTGCTGTGTATACCTATTTGTGTTTTTGTTCTAAAGGTGACCATCCTCTTTGCTGATCTCCATGCCTACCTAGACAACATGAAGGCTCCCTGGGAGCTGCTGGAGCTCAGGGTGAAGTACTACGAGCAGGTCATTAAGGCTATGTTGGAGAGCATTGGAGTTCCCCTTGACAAACTCAAATTTGTCAAAGGCACAGACTTTCAGCTCAGCAAGTAAACACTCCTCTTCGTTTAAATACTGTATTTCAAACAACTACATTGGATGATAATCGACCAAGAACATGGTTTTTATAGATATTCCAAGCATTGTACTGGGAAATAGTTTTTACTAGGGGTGTAACGGTACACAGAAGTCACGGTTCAGTAAGTACCTCGATTTTGGGGTCACGGTTCGATACGAGTTCGGTACAACAACAAAAAAGCAACAAATCCCCAATACTAGGTTTCTTTCATTTATTTTGAACAGAAAGTAGTGCAAATTACAGTTTGTTCCACCTAGCGGCATTTAGTTCCACCTGAGGTAGCTGGTACAGTACAGCCTCCTTTAGTGTATTACATTATACATTTGGCAGACGCTTTTATCCAAAGCGACTTACATTGCATTTCAAGGTACACATTCACATTCTTATCAATTCTTTTTGTATATTATAAATGTAAATGTATAGTAGTAAACAGCATTAATGCACTCTCGCATAGAACGGAGTTGGGAGAAGGCACCCTAAGCCTTTCCCAGCCTTGCTTTAATATCTTTAGATACCCCGCTGTCCTTATTGATGAGACTGCCCAGATAGGTAAAAGGTCAAATCTTCCACAAACTCAAGTGGTTCCTCATTAACAAGGAAGGGTGCTGTGGGGATGGAGTTGACACACATCACTTGTGTTTCAGAAGTGTTGATACTGAGCCCAAATTGTCTGGCAAAGTTGTTCAGCCTAACAGTTTTAGCCTGCATGTTGTACTGGTTGGTTGATAGGAGAGCAAGATCGTTTTTCCTGCTGTGGTGGTTAGCAAACAATGTTGCATTACCACATGCGCCCCCTTCTGGATTGTAGTGTGGATCGCCTGTGACTGACTGTATTCGTCGTCTGACTGTATGCACCGAATACTGATGTCCGTACTGTGACGTTTCGGGACGAATACATGTACCGTTACACCCATATTCATACATTATGAATGAATATAAAGAAAGTAAATGCAAATTACAATGTCTTTGTATGGTTGATCTATAATAGAGAGTACACTCTGGATGTTTACCGACTGTCATCCGTGGTCACTGAACACGATGCAAAGAAAGCAGGGGCTGAGGTGGTCAAACAGGTTGAGCATCCTCTTCTGAGTGGTCTGCTGTATCCTGGACTACAGGTATGCAGATTGTCTTCTGCTAACCTTTTTTCAAATGAACTAATTTTTTCATTTTAAAATTGTAATAATCCTTCACAATATTTTTACTGCATTTTTGATCACATGAATGTATTCAGTAATTTTGTGTACTTTGTACTCCTATTTAAACCTAGATTTTGTAAATAGTGGATGACCTTTTGGTGTTCTGTTCATTATTCTGATTTGCGGCCTATTCCAGACACTTGATATTGTTTTTTATTTCCATCAGGCACTGGATGAGGAGTTTTTAAAAGTAGATGCTCAGTTTGGGGGTGTGGATCAGAGGAAGATCTTCACATTAGCAGAGAAGGTACATGTGATTTTTTTTTTTTGCAGTACTTCCTATACACTGTATTTTACTTTAGTGTGCCAGAAGGAAATAGAAAATCTCACTGTATTATTACAATATTTAGAATTTGATATTTCCACTGGCACACTAAAGCAAAACATAAGTAACGGTCTTAAAACAAATGTTTTTCTGAAGTATCCAATATGCCTAGACTTTTGCATAGTATATATGCAAGTTGGAAGGGATAGGCAAGGGGTGGACAGAATAACAGGCTGAATCAGGCTTTCTACTAAGCTATTGTACTGTTTTGATGACTCTGTACTGATCCCCATAAATATGTGTGTGGGCATATGGCGTAATTGATAGGTATATTTTCATTTTTTTCTTCTTCTTTTGCAGTACCTGCCCTCACTTGGGTACACCAAACGTATCCACATGATGAACCCAATGGTTCCTGGACTGACCGGAGGCAAGATGAGCTCCTCTGAGGAGGTACGCTACCATCTACAACTTTGAAGATTCATATAATCAAAGAATCCTATTTATTCGACTGGACGGGATAGTGTGCTGTTGTATGTCGTATTGATTCAACACTCTCAAACTTTCATGTCTGATATCAGGAATCCAAGATTGACCTGTTGGATAAGAGCCAAGAGGTGAAGAAGAAGCTAAAGAAGGCATTCTGTGAGCCTGGAAATGTTGAGAATAATGGCATTCTGTCCTTCGTCAAGCATGTGCTTTTCCCGCTGCATTCAGGTGAGCTCAGGCACAAAAAAAATCTTTCGAAAATGTAAACATCTAGTTAAAGGAGAACTCCGGCGCAAAATGAACCTTTGGTCTAATTACACATTGTTACCTAGTCAACCGTTATCTGAGATTTGTTTTCATGATTATCGAATGTAAATAGTTTTATCTCTAAAAACAGTTTAGCCTATAAAGCTAGTATAACGCTAGTATATTGGGCATAGTGTAATGACAAATAAAAATCGCTTGTTAAAACCACTAACAAGGCTGAAAATAGACCCACACTAACACGGTAGCATAATGAGGGTCCCTACCTTCAAACCGAAGCATTGAGAACTTTGTAAGTGTCCAGACAGTTTAATAAGAAGATATTTTAAACATACAGTCAACTTCGCGTATACAGGCAGGAGCCATCTTTGAAATACAGCCTTTACCAGTCGATCTACGAACGCCGATCCAAGTGCGCTGGTAAGAATGTGAACGAGCTATAAGTTGTGATAAGGTGAGCGCGAACAGCAGGCTTGGATCGGCGTTCGTAGATCGACTGGTAAAGGCTGTATTTCAAAGATGGATTCTGCCTGTATACGCGAAGTTGACTGTATGTTTAAAATACCTTCTTATTAAACTGTCTGGACACTGACAAAGTTCTCAATGCTTCGGTTTGAAGGTAGGGACCCTCATTATGCTACCGTGCTAGTGTGGGGCTATTTTGAGCCTTGTTAGTGGTATTAACAAGCGATTTTTATTTGTCATTACACTATGCCCAATATACTAGCGTTATACTAGCTTTATAGGCTAAACTGTTTGTAGAGATAAAACTATTTACATTCGATAATCATGAAAACAAATCTCAGATAACGGTTGACTAGGTAACAATGTGTAATTAGACCAAAGGTTCATTTTGCGCCGGAGTTCTCCTTTAAGTGCTTAATGACGTGTTCTTTTTTTCAGAGTTTGTGATTAAAAGAGATCCAAAGTGGGGAGGCGACAAAGTCTACACTGACTATGAGGAAGTGGAGAAGGACTTTGCTGCAGAGGTATCTGAACAGTCCTTATCTTTTCTATTTCATGTACAAATAACACGTTTACATAAATTCATCAGATGTTGACCCCTGCACTGCTTGTACCTGCAGCAAATCCATCCTGGTGACCTGAAGGCTTCAGTAGAGTTGGCTCTTAACAAGCTGTTGGACCCCATCAGGAAGAAGTTTGAAACCCCGGAGTTGAGGAAACTGACAACATCAGCTTACCCAGAGCCCTCTAAAAACAGTGAGTGAAAATACAGTCTAAAAACATTTAGGACACAATCATCGACCATTGCGATCCCATTTAACAATAAAAAACAAATTGGAGCTTCTTCAAGCTTTTGAATGAGTTTTAGGAAAAGGCAAAAATGTGCACATTTACACACTGTTTGATTGTCATTGCTTCACAGAAGGAGGAGCGAAGGGCAACCCTAAACAATCCGCAGATGAGGAGGAGGTCATCCCATCCAGATTGGACATCAGAGTAGGCAAAGTCATCAGTGTAGAAAAGGTAGAGATGGCCAGCAATAGTTTTATGATTTATTTTTCCAATAAGAGGATGTTTGAATAACCCTTTTTTCTTTACCTGTTAGCATCCAGATGCAGAGTCGCTATATTTAGAGAAGATTGATGTGGGGGAGGAACAGCCACGGACTGTAGTGAGTGGACTGGTGGCCTACATCTCCCAGGAGCAGCTTCAGGACCGTCTTGTAGTGTTGCTATGCAACCTAAAGCCTCAGAAAATGAGAGGGATTGAATCCCAAGCCATGCTGCTCTGTGCTTCAATGTAAGTAGGGCCGATACACCCTAATTTAACTCTTTTATTCAATCAATGAAGATTTTCTTATAGTAAAAGTCATCTTGTCTTGATCTTTCTGAATGTGATGGCCTTCAGTGAGGGAGAGCCCAGGAAAGTGGAGCCTTTGGATCCACCAGAAGGATCAGCGCCAGGAGACCGTGTTTTTGTAGAAGGTTATGAATCAGGCAAACCAGATGATGAATTGAAACCAAAGAAAAAGGTGTTTGAGAAGTTACAGGTATGTGAGTTTTATATTTTTGTACTTCAACACTCATTATGGTATCACTGTGTCTTATTCTTGGTTGTATGTTTATTTGTCTGATCTCTTCAGGTGGATCTGAAGATCTCAGGCGAGAATGTTGCACAATGGAAAGAGCAAAATCTGATGAGCAAACTAGGACAGATCACCTGTAAAACACTGAAAGGTGGAAATATTAGCTAGACAGTCTTCACCATTTTTCTCAAAATCTTCAAAGCTTGAGTTTCGATGACAACCCAATATTCCCATGGCAATTACTCAGTGTCAGGTATTACTCATCATAGCCATCAAAAACTGCTACCTGATGGGAAAACAAATCCATGTCAACTTGTAAATGATATAATAGAACACAATTACTGGAGCAGAATACATATGGGTATCGTCTGTGCTTTATATTGCATGTATTGCCGTTCAAGATGTTTTACGCATTAAGTACTGCAGTAAATAATCTTATGCTCATTTGTTATAATGACAAATTAAGAATCTTCCAGGAGTTCATCTGTTGTCCTCAAACTCAGGTCTTCCTGTGGTGCCAGTCTCCAGTCTGACAATTTGAACTATTTTACCATTAATGGAAACGGTTCAGACATGAACAATCTATATAAATAATAAACTGTAATGAGTAAATATTTTAGGATAGTTTTAGCTTGGTTCAGGGAAACACCTCAAATTTCATGCAATGTAATATTCAGAACTCATCTGATGTTAACCAAACGCATTGAAATAAACAAAGATGATTCATAACCATTTTTCTTTATGGAAGTAATGATGGAAATGTCTTCAAATGTACCTTTGCCGTTTTTGTCATGATCTATTGAAAAGAGATATCTATATATTAACCTGAAAATGAAAGGTTGGGACTCTATTTAAAAAAAAAAGTCACCATGTAAACATTAAGAATTAATTCTTGATTAAAGGATATGGGAACTATAACTCATTTGCGTATTTTGCTGTACTGAAAAAAGCAGCTTTACCAGAGAACATGAAAAGGTTTTCTCTTCTGATGAATGAATATTTACACGGCATACATTAATCAGACAAACAAAATATATGGTGGTATGGGGGGTGTATACTGTGTGTAATGTTATATTTGTATGTCCAAGGAATTTAAAAACAGTCAAAACAGGGTAAATCTATAAATATTTTTTAATGCATATTTATTTTTAAAACAGAAACAGTGTTGTAATTCTATTCACTCCATTGGAAGTAAATAGTTACTAAAGTATATGTATATACTGTATATTTTTACATCAATTTTAGAGGGACCGTCAGTCAATACTTTTACTAATTTGCTGGTTCCAACAGAAATGCAGCATTTAGCTTACAAAGTGCTTTAATCTAATGAAAAGTAAATGTATAAATGTTTTGTATGTTATATGTTGCAGCCATGGTCAGCATACTTCAGAATTCAAAAAGGTAACAGATGGTTCTGTACATGTATTATTACATATTTGCTGAAAGCAAATTCTGAAAGCTGATTGCAGTAGAATTAAACCTTTCAAAAAATTGTTAGTAGAATCGACTTCTTTCATGAAAGCTAGCAATCAATCTCTTTGCTTGAACATATTTAGATATGTCAAATTTTTAACAGGATTTGACTTTTTTTGCACCAAGCAGTGATTACTACCACTAGTGACCACTAGATGTCAGTTTAATCTTGCATTCATTAGCTTTAATAAGTCCACAATAAACTTAAAGTGACTTTTCCCAGAGCACAGAAACTCATTTAGAAAAATACTCGAAAGTTTGTAATAAAGCTATTTAACAAAAAAAAAGGCTTGGGGGAAAAAGCTTTTTGCATACATTTGAAGGCCATTATCAGGCTAAGGCTTTTAAGACAGTTGCGGTATCCATGGATCCTTGATCACAATCTCACTTGGGCTTTTATCACTTGCTTTGTCCTCTTGTCTGTGCCAGACTGTGACTAAACAGTCCAATCAAAACTCAACTCATCCACCATGACTCTTCAACATGCAGTCTCTGTACTTCCTGAAAAAGAAATGTAATTATAATGATCATTTACATGGTTCCATATTTCATGCACAAATTGAAATAACCCGTGAATGCTTCCTTACTTGGTTGCTCTTGGCTCCCTAATGATTGTGCTCGCTGGCCAGCAGGATGCACTGGATCACTTTGCCCATTAACTTCAACTCTCGTTATTTGTTTATTTGTCAAGGTCTCTGTCTTATCCGATGTTACATTCTCCGTCTTGTTGGGAGGATTTGTTCCATGCACTGGTTTCTTAGCAACAGGTGGCGGCACTTTAATTGCCTTTTTTGTTCCATTAGTAATCATCATCTTGGCTTGGTCAGAAACATGCATTATCTCAGCTGCAAGACTCTGTTTGAGGCTTGCTTGGACCTCAGGCGAAGAAGGTGTTTCAATGATAACTTTTTTTGTGCTTTTGGAGAATATAAAACTGGCTGTCGATGCAGGGGACTTATGCAAGTCACAGCCGTCTGGTGTTTTAGGGGATGGCACAGGTGAACTAGCAGTGCTAGTTGAGGATAAGCGTAGATTGAGCATTGCAGGTACTCCACTGGACGACATAGCAGCTGTCTTCATACGTATAGCCTCTTGGAGACACATGGATGGGACTGTGGCTGGAGCAGGAGAAGACTTAGCAGGTGAGTTGGACTTCAAAGCCAAGGATTTGCGAATAGGCTTTTGTGGTGTTGCTTGACTAGTAAAACTGTGATCCTCATTTGTTGTGGTCTCAGTAATTGGTTTGCTATCATTGTTTATTTGATCTTCCCCAACATTTACAGATCGTAGTCGCACCATTTGAAGCAAGGAAGGTGTGACAAGTGGTATGTTTGCATCTTCCTTTGGAATAGGTGTGCTTTTGTGTCGACACAACAGTTCTTTGCTCCGGTTGTCTTTGTTTACAAGGCTCGGATGCCTTCGTAAGTTAACTATAGATTGGTTTTCCACTGGAAGCGTAGGTGCAAGTGGCACATTGGAATCTGCTTGGCTTTCAGGTGATGCGTGCTCTGATGAATCTTCCCCTTGTACAAGTTTATCCGGTAATAAAAAACACATGTTAGGAGAGGCTACAGTTGTGTTTTCCATGCCAACTTGGTCCAATGAGAAGTCCGATACATTATTACAAGGCTTATCTTGTTGTCTATTCTCCATACCATTTTGTACTGTTCTTTCTGGGAGAATGGTATGTATTTCTGAGTCTTGGTCTGGACTGCTGTCCATATCCGAGGCATTAGATGACACCAGTTCTGTATTGGATTGCGGTTCACATGATTCTTCATGGCAATTGACCGATATCTCTGAGAGGGGTTCGTGCATGAACGAAGGAGGTGGTGGGGGGAAGTCAAGTTCATCTTGTTCCTCAAACATCAAGTCAGTAGACTCTTCCATTGGTGGTGGTGGTGGAGGCCAAGAAGACTCCAGGAAAGTCACCTGTTCCTCTTTTTCTTGCTTCTGTTCCCCTTCTTCTTTAGATGGTGGTATAGACACTGAGGAGGCTGACATCTTTTTAGTAGGTGGTGGAGGAGGGTGGTGTTCTGGAGGTGGAGAAGGAGGTGGAGAAATCCCATTGACATCAGGTACTTCTATACCAAGGGTTTGCATTGGTTTATGATTCAAAAAGCCCTTTACATGGCAGTTTCTTTGGATCTCCTCATTGGTTTTGTCATTCCTTGGGGAAGATGTGCTCACAATTTCACCATTTGTTTTGATTTGACAGTTTGTTTGTGAGAGCATACTTTGATCAACTTTGATAGTTGGCACCTTCGTTGTTAGAAGTGTTTGACGTGTTTGACTTCCTCTTTCCTTTTGGTCCTCTACAGTTCTCCCCCCTTGTAAACGAATAGTTTGGTTGACCTCTGCAAGAGTTTCTGGACTTTCTAGTTCATTATGTAATGTTGAGCTTCCATTATGCCTCACATCAGGAGGTTCTGTCGTTGTTTGTTCGTGCACTTGTGGTGATATGGACTCATTTTTTTCTTTTACAGCTTCTTTGTTCTCCGTTTGTTCTTCAATCTTCCTTTCTTCTGTTGTCTGTGTCTTTGGGGTCATTTGTTCAAGGATTTGCATAGAATTTGCATTTTGATTTTTACCTATTGATGACTCTTTTTGTTGTTTTTGAAGCTGATGTAACTTATGGGGGGTTGGACCTGGGCCACATAATAGTTCAAGTGTCCGTTTATTGTGAATCCAGGTTTCAGGGGGTGGGGGAGATGGGGCTTTTACCTTGGGTGGAGGGGGAATATTGAACAGTTCCCTAAGAGCATTATTTGGGTGTGTGGGTGTTACCTTGTTTTTCACTGTTGTAAGCAGAGGGGAGCACTTCAATGGCTCTGATGGAGTGGTGTTGGTTTGAATGTCCTGATGCGCCGTATCCGATGTGACTGAAGACAGAGATGTCATTGACGAAGAGACTGAAACCACCGGTGAGCTCTGTACACCTGCTCTCTCTGGTTTTGAAGGCTTAACTCTTCTCTTTCCAGGTGAGGAGGGACTAACCTCTTTAGGGGAATGCGTAGGCGTCCCACTTTGACTTGAGTATCCACTTGAAGGAGATAAAGTCCTATCAAATTTGTTTTCACCAGATTCCCCAGTTTTCTTTGGAGATGAGTTACTTAATCTGACATGACTTCCAGTAAAAGTTTGATCAGGACTAAGTGGGCTAGATTCCACAGATGTCTGGAAATCTCTTAATGAGCTGAGCACGGAAGAATGGACAGAACTCTTCTCGTTATTGGTGGACTGATGGTCCTCTTTTGCATTGCTGAACTCTCTACCGATTTGCTCATCATTTGGTGCTATATCTTTGAGATCTTTTATGTCTACATGCTCCCTAGATCTCCGCTTAAGTTTTTCATGATGCAGGGAATAGGTTCTCTGAGGCGGTGCTGGTGGTAGTTTTGTCTTCATTACAGAGAGACTACGAGAGAACGAATTGCTGTTTCTAACATTGTCCCCTGTATCATCCATCTCCCTGTGGTCCAGTCTGTGATTTGTATCTTTACTGTCAGAACTTGTCCAACTTCTTGAGCTTGTAACACTCATGTCCTTTGGGATTAAATCTGAAACATCTTTGGTGCTGTCGGCAACAAAGGTTGGTAGACACCTTCCTTTTGAAGAGATTGTCGAGGAATTGGAGACCACAGTCTCAGATGATTGCGAATGACTCTTGTTGGAACTAGCGGTAAGAGGACCTTGATTTGTCCCACCTCCAGACCGTGAAGAAGCTGGGCTAGCTGATGCTAAACTATTCTTGCTGACTGTACTGGCACTGCGCCGGCTGTGATCATGATTAATTTCAATGATATCTATTGCAGCAGGCAGAA